CCAAAAGCGCCCAGCCAATTTCAACTATTATATACACTGATAAAAAAAAAATTCAGCAACTCATGGTACTGAAACAGTTTAATTTTGTGACTTGGAATAAAGACAAAATATTTGATTGATGTCTATGTATCTTTAGGAAAAATCTCTCACACAAATTCTAATAATCTATTTAACGTCTACTCAACCTCAATAATATCTACATCAATTATTATTTTTCCTGTGAAGTTGTCAATCCTCTAGCTGCTGAAATAAAAACATCTAGAATTCACTGCTGATTCCATCCTATCTGCAAGCTTCCGGTGTCACCTTCAAAATCAAGCCAGACCAATCACTTTATCATCGCTTCAGTGCCTGGTAATCAGGAACCACCAAAAATCTGAGTGTCCTTGCTTCTACACTACAGGTACACTGGCTAATCATGACAAAGGGGCTGGAGTGAGCTTCTAAGTCTTAAATCACACAGAATGGAGGGAGGGAGTTTGGGGAATCTGCTACCCGGCAATGCTCATGTGTGTAAAGATTCTGAATTAAACCTTTAAATGGTCTTGAGAATTTAAAAAAGAACTGATGAGTTTACCTTCTTAGACCTTCCTTGGACAGATATATTTTTGAAACTGGTTTAATTCTACTTCAGAGTCAAATAAAACTGTAGAAAAAAAATCTTTCTTGCACACCAAAATGTAAGCTTCATGAAGACGATGACTTTTGTTTTATATATCCTTATATGTCAACAGCAAAATAATGTTTTATAAACAAATGTATACAGATCACCTATGTAACCAAGATGATCATCCAACTTGACTCTAAGTACAAGATAATTGAGGACGCAGTATTTTATTTATATCTGAACACAGAACTATAAAGTATTTTAAGCATAGTTCTACCCTAAGAGTAACAGAAAAATGTAATAGTAGTTGCAGAGTATTATAGTCTAGAGTCTGATAAAACATTAAGCCAGAAAACTATTCCAAACTTATTACCTGCTCCAGCAATTTAAGCTAATTTTTGCATCTGGAACAGAAAGGAAAAAGCCATGTGAGTTCTCAATGAGTTGGCTATAAGTGAGATGCCTTGGTATACTTTATTTGGGCTTCTAAATGAAATAAGTAACTTGAACAAAATGGAAGCAAATTAACTTGCAAATAAAGAAACTACATATCCATGCATTTTCGAAAGGAAGGTAAAATATTTACTTAAATATTCAAAAACAGTTATATACAAGAAACAAAGTATTTATAAACATCATTTACTAGTGCTCCAAATTCTATTCAATATAAGTAGATGTGACATTTCTAAATTACAAGATTCAGTAAAACCAAGGAAAAACTATTCAGTACACCATTATCTCTTCCTTTCGATTGGTATATATTAAATACATAATGCAAGGAATTGCATTATGTCATTTTCACACATCATATAATATTCTTTGGTAAGTTTCATTGTAACACCTTTTCGTTATATGTGACAAGTTCCTTTCACAGCTTTTATATCCTATACTAGAGATATAATTAAAGGACTTGACACCTCATTTCTATGAAATTAGATTCTTAGGTGAACTTCACAATTCTGAAAGTTATTCACAAATAACTGAAATCCATTCCAAAAAGATCACATGAGAAATATACAAAAAATTAAAAATCTTTTTTCTTACATTTTTCTACATTTCTCTATTTTTGTACAGCTTATTAGCATACATTAGCTGTACAAGAGATGTTTCATTGTGGCATTTCCAAACATGTATACAATGTATGCTAATCAAATTCACCGTCCCCCTAATTGCTTTCCCTTCCCACTTCTAAAAAAAGTTGAACAGATTTCTTCATGCTATTTGGAATCATGCAAATAAACTATTTTGACAATATTTATCCATATTCACATTCTATATTCATCCTCTCTCTCGCTGATATCCTCCCCCTTAAAAAGAGCTTGATGTACTTACTTTTAGGTTAACCAAGACAATATGAATCACAACTTCACTAGACACTTTATCTCCTGAATGTCTAACATGGCATATGTCAACTAGCAAATGGATAAATAAACACTTGATGAATGGATCGAAGCAAGAATAATTTTTGCTCATTGGAGAAAATATATTCACAGATAGAAATATATTAAGGACAGTGTAACTACTATTAGAAGTAAGTATAATTTGATTATTTCCCTTTATATTTAAAATATCTGGGTTACAGGTATATGAAAGTCATGTTCTTTAAAAGATACATTTGGATATTCAAAACTATTAAGTTTGTAGCAACTCTATTAGAAATGACCTTAAATTTAGTCTTTGCACTTTGTATTCTTAAAATGAATTAAATATTTAATTTTGTTGAAAAATTTTCATTTTGCTAGTTATTGTTTTAACAAAACATGAACTAATGAAATTAACAAATTTCATTTTACTTACACATACACACACACACACACACACACCTCAATATCTCTGATATAGTAATTGCTTACTGCACCAGTAAATTTTCTCCAAATTATGTAGTATATATTTTCACTTAAGGAAAACCTGAAAATAATCTAGACCTTGAAACTTTTTCACTAAAACAATCTGAACTTTTAAACGATCCTTAGGAAATCATAAGAACATAGCATTACTAAGTCACTCATTTCAAAATGATAAGCAACTCAGCCTTGCTTCATTTCTGGCCAAATAGTAAACAACATAGCTTTGCTTCATTCTTCTCATGCTTGTGTAAGTGTGGTTTTGTTATCTCCATGAGCCAAGGTTTGAACTCACATATATCAAATCACTCACTTGAATTTGTGAATTTAAGTAGTTGTGTACATTATAAAACAGTGGATTTTGATAATCTAGGTTTTAAAAACTTCTACCTTAAAAACTATGCTCAAGCTTTGGCACACTGAACTGGTCATACATATCAAGAACTAGAAAAACTATATATACTGGCACAAAAAATAAGTTATTGAACTGTGACAAGGTATACTTCTGTAAGTGTTGAATCAAAATCTAGTTCCATAGTTATTAATACCCAAATTTTAATATTTAAAATATCAGAAATAGTGAACACTAGGTGTCAGTGTAAGAAATGGTAAAATATTTGTAAAAACCTGTTGTTTCCAGTCAGGTGTATAACAAAAAAATCAAAAGCAGCTGTGACCACATTTACTTATAATTGCATAATTCAGTTAACAAGCCAATCTTTCTTTCAAACAAAGATTCCTGTTCCCAAACTATCAAGTTTAAAATCAGATTAAGCTGATTATTATAAATTACAACTCTTTTGTGACCTGAGCAGTATAATACACCATTTTGTTTTTACTTCTAAGAATATAGATGTTTGAACCAAAGTTTACTTTTAACAATACATATTTCTAACAATAGTGCTAGGCCCAGATATGATGGCTATGGACGCATAGCTGCAGGATTTCGGCTGGTAAATAATATCGCTGGGCGAAATGTTTTTAAAAAAAAGTTTAGTCACTTGGGCTCTCATTCCAATTGCTGGCTCATGGCTGGCATGTGACCATTTGAGCCGCACCTAGTCCTGTATTTTGATGGCTAAGTGGAGATACAATCTCATGAACTTTCTGTCCAGACTGGCTTCTAACCTTTGATTTGCCAGCTCTCAGCCTCCTTAGTAGAGAGGATTACAGATGTAAGCTACAGGCACCCAGCTACATGCATTATTTTATATAATGTATATGAGGTAGGTAAATTCCAATATATTAATAAACAGAGATTCAGAAAGATTAAATAATATAATTAAACACTGGGTTAAAGGCTAATACTTCATTCTGCTGTATTATATATGTATAAATTTGATTAGTAAAATGATATAGTTTTCATACTTATTCATATTATTTCCCATACGCCTCTAAAATAAAAAAGTGGCAGTCTCTAAATAAGCTGTTATTCTGCCAGACTATTCCATTCATATTGTTGTAATACAATCCTTGGATCACTCCACTTGATTTTCTTCAAACATTTTCTCTTAAAAGTATTAAGAGTTGGTAATACCTATCTTTAAGAAACTACCATCAAACCCAATTTATTTAAAAAATATGTTGAAATATAGCAGTTCTCACCAGTGTTTCTCACCAAAGTCACCTGTGATGTGTTTCAGGGTGTAGCTCAGAATTTTTTTTTCAAGGAATATGAAGTAGAGCTTGGGAGCTGTTTAAGCCCAGCAAGTGGCTCTGAGGTGAACTCTGAGCTGACAACCATTGCTAAATACCATAGGAGAGATGATAAAACGAAAGCATAATCAACTACCCTATTCATCACACTTAGTTCTAAATTCTTTTATTGATTTTTAATAGCCAAGAACATTTAAACATGTAAAACACACACTAACATGCATGAACATTTGTATCCTGCTTGCCTAATTGACAGTTTTCAGTCAAAATGTCACTTAAATTTTTTTAAATGCTAGCAATTTGATAGCCCAAACTTTATTACAAATTACCAATCGAAATTAGCGTTTCTCTAATCTGGACTTCATAAGGTTCAAAGAGCTCCATAATGATAGAATTCAGATGGGGGGGGGGTAAAAAGCATACTACATAGAAAAAGGGAATAATTTTAGTATAGAAAAATTCTCTATCACAATTGCATTATTGTTATAACAATATCCCATTGACAAAATGAATCAAATTATGGACTGAAAGAGGTAAATACTGTTTTATGTAAGTTATCTGTCAATAAATCCTACAAAACATCCAAACATAGGGCTGGGAAGGTGGCTCAGTGGTAGAGCGCTTGCCTTGAAGGCATGAGGCCCTGGGTTCAATTCCTCAGCACCACATAAGCAAAAAGAAAAAAGCCGGAAGTGGCGCTGTGGGTCAAGTGGTAGAGTACTAGCCTTGAGCTGAAGAGCTGAGGGACAGCGCCCAGACCCAGAGTTCAGGCCCCATGACTGGACCCCTCAAAAAAAATCCAAATATAAGTAAAAATGTCTTTGAACACAATAGGTTTTAATCCAAATGAAAGAGAAGGATTATATCGCATATGATGATTATATTAATCTTACCAGATTAACTAATTGAGTGTGTACTACATCTTCTACCAAAACTGCTGTTTCATGAAGAGGCCTTCTGGCATCACCCAAAGAAAACCTGCAAAAAGAAAAAGACCTAATTATGATTCTAACTATTTCCAAGAAGGTTATCAAGAACTGATTACAGATTTGTCTAAAAAAATCTCTTCTCAAGCTTAGGGACAGCACCCAGGCCCAGAGTTCAAGCCCCATGACCAAAAAAAATAAAAAATAAATAAAAATTAAAAATTTAAAAACTCTTCTCGATTTTTCATTTCACTAGATATGCAGAGAGTCTCTTTCTAACAAGAACACTTGAAATGTACAATAATGCAATAAAATATCATTAAAGCCTGTGGTAGCAATATAGAAAACAAAAGTCAGATTAGATGATTAAAAACAGTTCTGTGGGGTGAGAGCACTGGATCCCGAATCACTCTTCAGGCTAGTAACTTAAAGATTAGACAGTGATGCATAATAGTCAAGGTAGGGGAAAGCATGTGGAGATTCAAAACGAAACGGGATCAGTTTGAAGAACCCAATTTAAAAGCGAGAAGCCAAATATCAGTAATGATCAGTGCATGAATGACAAAAACAGCCATTTCACAGAATGAATTTTACCAACAAGGGCTTTAGATGTGAGAGAAGGAAAAATAAGGGAAAAAAAGATTCCTTAAGAATTAGTAGCTATAAATTCACTTTCACACTCTTAGAAGTGTTTTCATTAATGGAAACACACATACATACATACATACATAAAGAAATAAAGCTAAAAGTTAAAATGACGTACATCACTGAAATACAGAAAACAATCCAAAAATTCATATGGAACAACAAAAGACCTAGAATAGCCAAAACAATTCTAGGGGATAAAGACAATATGGGAGGGCTATCCATGCTGAACTTCAAACTCTACTACAGAGCTATAATAACAAATACAGCATGGTACTGGCACAAAAACAGACCCGAAGACCAATGGAACAGAATAGAAGATCCAGAAATAAATCCACAGGCCTACAGCCAGCTGATATTCGACAAAGGAGCCAAAGACATACAATGGAAGAAACACAGCCTCTTCAACCGCTGGTGCTGGGAAAACTGGGCAGCCACATGCAGAAAACTAAAAGTGGACCCCAGCCTATCAACTCAAAATGGATTAAAGACCTTAACATTAAACCTGAATCTCTGAAACTACTGCAGGACAGAGTAGGAGAGACACTTGAACTAATAGGCACAGGAAGGAACTTCCTGAACAGAGTCCCAGGGTCACAACAAGTTGGAGAGAGACTCGACAAATGGGACTACCTTAAAATAAAAAGCTTCTGCACAGCTAAATCTATCGCAACTAAGCTAGAAAGACAACCAACTAATTGGGAAAAAATATTTACCAGCAATATATCAGACAAGGGGTTAACATCCTGTATATACAGGGAACTCAAGAAACTAATCCCTCCCAAACCTAACAAACCAATTACTAAATGGGCAAGGGAACTAAAGAGGGACTTCTCAAATGAAGAAATAAAAATGGCAAAGAAACACATGAGGAAATGTTCATCATCCCTGGTGGTGAAGGAAATGCAAATAAAGACAACCCTGAGATACCACCTTACCCCAGTCAGAATGTCCCACATCCACAAATCAGCCAACGACAAATGCTGGAGGGGATGTGGAGAAAGAGGAACCCTATTACACTGCTGGTGGGAATGTACACTTATACAACCACTTTGGGAAGCTGTCTGGAGGGTCCTTAGAAAGCTAAAGATTGACCTCCCTTACGACCCAGTCATACCACTTCTAGGCATCTACCCTGAACAACAGGAACCAATATACAAGGACACGTGCACCTCCATGTTTATTGCAGCACTGTTCGCAATAGCTAGGATATGGAAACAACCTAGATGCCCCACCACAGATGAATGGATCCAAAAATTGTGGTATCTATACACAATGGAATATTATGCAGCCATTAGAAATGACAAAATAATGGCATTTGCAGGGAAATGGATGGAGCTAGAAGGAATCATGTTGAGCGAGGTAAGCCAAGAGCGAAGAGACAAACGGTACATGGTCTCCCTGATAAGTGGATGCTGAATCCAAAATGTTAGGTGATATGACAAAACTAACAGGACTTAAGAAACAAAGAACTCCCACTCATCTGGTTGAACCACTACTAAATATCCCCATGCTGCTGATCACATATATGGTATATAACATGTGAGCACCGTTATATATTAGACTGTGATAGACAATTTGCTCCAGGAAAGTTAGAATGAACTTGTGACTTTAAATGAGCATCATTATTCCACAATACTGTGAAATTCCGGAAATTATGTAATCACTTAATCACAATTAAAAAAAAAAAAAAGAACCTCGGGGAAGGGAGGGAGGGAGGGGGATGGTAGGGGGAAAACAATGGAGGGGCTAACAATGTTCAAGAGGAAGTGTACTCATTACCTCACTCATGTAACTGTAACCCTCTGTATAGTATCTTTACAATAAAAAAATGGAAAAAAAATAAATTCACTTTCACGCTCTTAGAAGTATTTTCATTAATGGAAACACACATACATACATACATACATACATACAGAAATAAAGCTAAAAGTTAAAATGATTTATAGTGACAGTATTCTCAGGTACCAGGCAGCATCCCATGTAGAACATATTTAAATAAACCTGAAAATATTTCCAATAGATGATACTTAAAATGCATTATATACATGGCGGGGGGGGCATCCTGTAGTCAGGCTAACAATCAAAAAAGTCTATACATAACAAAATAATCAAATAATAAATACATCTCAATTATGTGACTCATAATTTTAAAAACTAAAAAGTACATGTAGGGAAAAAAAACTAACAAACTCATCAGCCACATATGAAAAACACTGAAAAAAAATACAAGTGAAAAATATGATAAATAGAATTTTAAAAATTAATGGGAGCCTGGCACTAGTGGTTCATACTTGCAATTCTTGCTACTTAAAAGGTTAAGATCCAGGGGCTGGGAAGGTGGCTCAGTGGTAGAGTGCTTGCCTTGCATGCATGAGGCCCTGGGTTCGATTCCCCAGTACCACATAAGCAAAAAGGAAAAAAGCCGGAAGTGGTACTGTGGCTCAAGTGGTAGAGCGCTAGCCTTGAGCTGAAGAGCTGAGGGACAGCGCCCAGGCCCAGAGTTCAGGCCCACGACCGGACCCAAAAAAAAAAAAAAAAAAGGTTAAGATCCAGAAAAATCTCTGTTCAAGACCAACCCAGGCAGAAAAGTCTGTGAGAGTCTATCTCCAAAAAATCAGCAAAAGGCTGGGCTAGTAGCATTGCTCAATTGGTAGAGCACCAGGCAAGTAAGCAAGTAAATTGATTGTGAGGTCCTAAGTTCATTCTTACTCACAAAAATCAAAGGGATAAAACTTAATGGATTTAATAGCAGATTAGGTTAAACTAAAAATAATGGTGCTCTAGACTACAGTTCTAAGGAAATTACCTATTAATACAGTATGGGTAACAAGAGAAGGTTATGATAAATGTTATGCCAAAACCATGGATACTGTGGTGAAATGGGTAATTTTTAGAAAAATGTAAATGACCAAAATCAATCCAAGAAGGAGCAGAAAACTCAATTAGTTCTATGAATTTTAAAGAAACTGAATTAGCAATAGGTCCACGATAGTGGAATCAAGCAGGCATTTGGGTAATTTCTATTCATACACTTCTATTCTTTAATAAGCATATTGTTTTAAGAATTTATCAATTTGAGCCTCTGAAGTCAAGGAGTTCATGTAAGCCAGTGGACGAGAAATAGATTCTCAGCTGACATTTATTTCATTGTAGTTACTGCTCCTATTCAGGGGAGGAAAGAAGGTCCCAAGTAAAAGGTTGAGAAATATCTAAGCCCAGGTATTTCACATGGCCTTTATCCAACTAAGAAGTTTACAATATGCAACTGTAAGTGGCTGTGCATTCCAGCTATCACCAATATGAAAGGGGAATTGTTATGATAAAAAAAAAAGAAAGAAAGAAAGAAAGAAATATTCTCCTGGCCTCAGTCACCACTGGAACTAGGAAGTAACATCTCCCATTTCATCCATAAGGTCCTCAACAAGGCAAAGGAGAGGACTAGGATATGATGATTTTAAAAGATCCCTTTTCAGACACTTGATTTTTCACAACTGTAATCCTTAAATCATAAAATCTGTATCTTCAAAAATAAGATAATATATATGAAAATTAAATCTTACAATGTAAATTGGGTAACAATCATAGAATTAATAAGAGAAATAAGATTTAAAAATGAAAGGAATGGAAAAGTTAATATATGGAGAAAAATCATTTCCAATAAGTTTTCCATTTTCCCTTACAGATATATTTTTTAAAGGCTAGAGATGTTATATCATAAGATTTTATACTGTTCGAGTACATTTAATAGACTTTTTAATGTAAAATGCCTTTTTAAAAAAAAATTAAGACCTGAGTGACAACAGAGAAGGGTTGATGGACTTTTAATCAAAGAAGCAAAAGAGATGTTTGATAATAATCAAAACAAAGCACCTAACAGACAGTTACAAAGAACCCAGGTCCAAGCAGATCTGCTGGGAAAGCGCTGAAGATCATATATAAAGGAAAGGGCAAAGGGGCTTCTGTACTGCATCTTCGTGGATACTGAGTTGCTTTCAATGCTCACCACTGGCTACAAATGCTGATGTGGTTAAATTATTCTGGATGCTGTGGTTAAGTACTTGCTGTGGTCTTGGGAGCTAGCTACTTTTTTTTTTTTTAATTAACTCTGGCTTCTTGGATGTTTTCCTCCCTCAGGTAATTGATATTGCTTAGGAATAGACATCAGGTGTCTGGTAGTAGGTGTAAGAAGGCTGTGGGTGACTGGTCTCAGAAAGAAAGTTCCCTTCAAAACATTTTATTTGATTATACTGTTATAGGCTAGGGTACTATAATACTCAAGAGTTTCTCCTAAATGGAATTAAGAGTGAGTGAGCAGGCTTCAGTCCTACCATGCATGAAGTCAGCTAATTTGGCACTAGACAGCACATGCAAACACAGACATCATTTTGTTTGTGTCATTTCTTT